CGCAATCTCGCGTCTCGCTGAAAAAAAGTTGAGCCTGTATTTCATCCGATGTATTATTGTGACCTAAATTTTTTTTTTTTTTTTTGCCTGGCAAGTTAGTTCTTTTTTAGCCAAATTAGCCTTGCTCTAAACTAATCCAAGAGTCGAAACAGTTTCCGAGAAATAAATTACTATTATAAACACTAGTCCGGTATCCATTGCTTCGCTGACGGCAAGATGATCGTATTTAAATTCTAAATTGTAGTATTAATGGAAATGGAATAATAATAGCAATGGAAAGTAATTATTAAATATATTCTAGGTACCTCCAAATATTCGGTAAAAAATGAAAAAAATGTCCCAATAATCGTCAAAATCTTTGTCATTATTAAGAGGAATGACCAAAGAATTTTTTGATCATTAGATTATATTTTGAATCTTTTTTAGAACCTTCAAAATATGGGTTATTTTTTTTTCTTACGTCAAGGAGTGTATTAGTAAATTAGTATAGAAAATTTTAGGGTCTTTTTGCGTTGAAAAACGCATTGATTTGAAAATTCTTGCAAAAATCAAATAATTGTCGGATGTTAATGAAACTTTCAAGAATTATTAACAAATGAATTAAATTATTTTAGACATGTATGTTTTAGATAAACTTGGTAAAAATATTTTTTTAATATCCGTTAACCCTCATTTAATTAATTATATAATTTTTATTTAATTGTATAATTCTTATTTAATTTTATAATTTTTATTTAATTTTAAATTTTCTTTTAATTTTATAATTTTCACTTAATTTTAAATTTTTTATTTTTCGAATTTATTTCGAGAAATACATTTTTGTAGGGCTTCATGTTTACATTAGTCATAAGGCCAGGTTTTTGGAGAATTTAAATCATCAATTCTTTTGTAAAACCGGACACCTTGTTACAGAAAACCTTTTCTGGCTCGTAAAATAAAAAAAAATTCAATAAAATTAAGACCTTATTTAATTAGAAAAGTTTTTAATTGACTCTATGAATAAGATATATTATAAACACTATTGTCTTAAGATAAAAAAAAAAAAAAACTTTTTCGATGAATAATGAATTTTTACAAGAGTTGTTCTAATTTTTAAAAAAATGTAAATTAGATTAATTTATGAAAACTTTTAGAATTCCGCATTAATTTGTAGCGGTTAAGTGATATTGTTAAAAAAAGTAAAAACTATATTTATTAATTATAAGCTTACTACAATTCCCCGATCCCACCCAAGTATTTAAAAAAAGAATTTGGAATATGTTTTTATTGTGTGTGCATAAAAGTACAGACTTTTGTAAATACGGACGTCCATACATGACATTTTCCGAAAATAAAACCGGGGACTGTAGCAAATTTAAAATCAAAGTACCTAAAATTCAATAAAATATTAGATTACTTAGAATATTTTCCTAAATTTCTAAGATTACTGGGTAGTTATCATTTATGTAAAATGGCTCTCACATTGTAGTCAAGTTATTTTTACAGATATGTCCCTCGTAGAAAAAATTCCCAAACATAATTCTATCAAAATAGTTGTCAACACATCATACTAACACCCACCACCGTATTAAAAAAATGCTTTTCTGCGATATTTTAAACTAAAAGCAAATAATATTTGTTTTAAATCAGATGATTTAAACTTTAAATTAAGTAATCTTCCTGAAATAAAGTTTCAGAAAAGTATATTTTATTTTTGAAAATTTTTTAATATTTTTAATGAGACTTACGTTGTGCTAATATATTTGTAAATATGGCTAAAAATCATCCATCTTTAACGATTTAAAAATCATTCTAATCAATTTAAATTCGTTTTAAAATAGCGCAAGTATTTTGCGCAAAAGAAATATTAAATTTAATTTATTAGCTTAAAATTAAAACTAGAATAAGAGTTTCAAGAATGATTTTTCATTTTTAAAAATTCATTTTAAACCTTAGGTATTACTTTTCTTTATTGGTACCTAATATATTCCGTTTAAATAGAGAAGGATTTATAAAATGACTCCCAAGAACCGTACATTTCGATTTATCTTCTTTTTCTGATACCCAGAGGTTAATCCTCGTGACATAGATGTTCACTTCAATTTTAATGTGTGCCTATGTACGTTTGTGTGTGCGGATGTATATTTGAATTCAATCACAGACCTAAAAGAATAATAAATAAGCAACAAAAAATAAAAGAAAAGAAAAATAGAAAAAATATATTTTAATTCTTAGTGAATAATTTCCGAAACGTTCAATAACATTTTATAATTATTGATTTGTTAGGTTTAAGATTAACAGGGGGTTTTCGCCAAGAAATTGATCGCACTTTTTCTCATTCGACTTTTTTACCTTTTTACCTGAATTCTCTTATGTGGCTCTACAAAAGGATGCTGAGGCTATCATTGACCGAGCGTGTCAACGATGAGGTCCTGGAGAGGATGCAAACAAAAAGGAAGCTTATATTTGACATCAGGGTGAGACAGCTGAAGTTTCTAGAACACGTAATGAGAAAGAAGGGCTTGGAGAATCTGATACTCACTGGTCGAATAGAGGGAAAGAGAGACAAGGGAAAGCAACGCATGATATACTTGGCGGGCCTGAGCAAGTGGATGACAGAACGTGGTCTCGGGGAGGAAGCAGAGGGAAGGAACTTGTTGAGAGCTACAAGGGATAAAGTGGAGAGCCATGATCGCCTACGCCCTGAAAGGACATGGCACATAAAAAGAAGTAATTTTTAGGTTAAATTTTAAAATTTATCCTTAATTCACTTTATCGTTAGAAGTGAAAAAAATGGATACTTACTCTCTGGCCATCAGTATGGTGTAGAGTTATAGGCACTAATAAACAGATGTAAAGGGACAGATATATTATGAAGATGAACAGAACGAAATGGTTATGAATAGACTGATATCAATAGATAGAAACGAATTGAAATAATTATCGAGTAGATACTAAAATTATCTCACTGGAGGTACGGGAAAGAAAAACTGTTTTTGTTTTTATTCTACAGCAATACACACATTTATACAAAAAGACAGTCTGACAAAATTAAACTCTTGATAAGCTTATATTTTCTTTTCTTTTTTTTCATTATAGTCTCCAACTTTATGTTTTTTTTATTGCTCACCTACAGAATGGCTGACCTGAATGAGTGGGAAGGGAATGTATTGTTTCATCATCTTACTTTAAACTCATTCAAATTGTGTGTATGTGTATGTGTATGTGTGTGTGTGTGTATGTTTGCGTCTGTGTGCTTTTGTATGCATTAAATGGTACATGCATGCAAGACGTCACATGTATGCAAAACGCAGACATATACAAAGACATTGTGCATGCAAAGTCACACGCTGACAAAGCGTGACGGGCAAAAATCACCTTTTTATAAGATTTGATGAAGGGCAATTTCATCTCTCTCTCTCTCTCTCTCTCTCTATATATATATATATATATATATATATATATAGCCGAATGGATATGAGATTGTGACCCTGGGTTTCATCTGAGGATAGCATAAGCGTGAAACCCAGGTTACAATCTCATATCATTTTTCAACTAAATATGTTAGCTCTACCACTGATACTGAGCGCTTTCCAACTAGCACCGCGCATATACAAAATATATATAGAATTTATATATATATATATATATATATATATATATATATATATATATATATATATATATATTATACACACACATATATATATATATATATATAAATATCAGAGTGTGCAACTTTATATATTATATCATAAAAAGTCATTTATACAAAGAATTAATTAGCAATGTTAATGCGATTAATGGCGAAATCACTTCGCTAACAAGAGTTAATAAGATATTAACTTTCTATCACTTCCTTGAATAATACGTTCCTTATATTTGCGTTATTGTCAGGTGGAATTGGCAAGCCAAGTACTTTCAACATTTTCAAATTGTCAGTTTCGGAAAAATTATATATATATATATATATATATGTGTGTGTGTGTGTGTGTGAAAATATATGTATATGGAATATACATATATTTATGTATATGGAAAAATTACGCCTTGAATATAAATAAAAAAACACAAATTTTAAATTCCCAGCATCCCTCGTTCGTACGCATGACAAAAAAGGACAAAACGTGTCACAAGAAAACATTTCCTACATTGTCATGTGCGCTGATAGCCTAACGGTGAGATGTCAAGTCGGTCGTGTTTCGATCCTGGCTTGAAGCAATCTCATGTCTAGTCACACGGATAATCTGTGATACAGCGTAACAGTCTGTGGATGAATATATATAAAAGTGAACATAGAAGTCAACACTTAGAGGCGACAGTCTGTTTCATGCTAGATGCAATAGCATGAAATAGACTGTCCATTGCATCTTGCATGAAATGTTCGCCTCTTTTATATTTACACACGCCCTATCCTGATATTGAGCACTTTATCTCATAAATATAGCACATCTTAAGACTATATTTCTTCATATATATATATATATATATATATATATATATATATGTGTGTGTGTGTGTGTGTGTGTGTGTGTGTGTGTGAGGGTAGACCAAAAGTCTGTAGCCTAATCTTTAATTTGAAATTTCTTTTGTATAAATATTTACCCTATATACTTGCGTATCTTTTGAAGCTAATTTTAATAGGGCTTGTATCATAAACGGGATATAAATTTAGCGTATATACTGCTGGACCTGACTACGCCGTTGACCAAACTATATATGCATTTACTGTAGTCAAAATGTACAGCTCTATTTAAAATATTCAACACCCATTACACAAGTACATACGTTATTTTCAAAGGTTGTTTTCATTTAATAAAGTGTTTTGACTCGGAAGGAGTTTGTGTTCAAAAATAAATTTTTGTTGCGTAAAATAAATGATTTTTCATAAGTGGAACGTGTTCTGTACCTACATGTGTGTCTGTATGTGAACTGCACGTGTACATGCATTTGTATTTTGTATTGCGTATATATATGTGCGTATATCCCACAAAATCTTTTGGGGGCTTACGGGACATCACGTTGAAACACCGATTCCTGTACGACCACCGAAGTTAAGCAATGTCGTGTCTGGTCAGTACCCAGATGGGTGGCCGCTTGGAAATACTAGGTACTTTAAGATCGGATATGCATGTGGTGTAACGGATAATGACTCGGAATTGGAAATCGGATAGCCGTGTTCCAATTCCGGTCGGGGTCGTTATATTCGCTTACTAGCAAATACTTTTGGGGAAGGTATGAATACACCTCTTCTCCCCCCAGTTATGGGTTAATTAGTAAGACCTGTGCAACTAAACAATTATTATCTGTGTACAAAAATATCTAGATTTCGGCATTAAATAACCCATAGAGGTGTTGCTATGCCGCTAAACAAAAACAACCAAATATCTTGCCAACCAGATAAATATGAATATACAAAGAAATAATCAAAATACCGACCGAGCAAAGAACATCTCGTTTAGTGTTATCGTCAAAAATTTCATTATTTGCTAACTGCCCTTCTGATAGTTTTGTATGAGCCATATTGGATTTTTATCTAGTGTTACATGTAAAAAAGAAATCTGTATTTACAATCATTAAATATAGAATTCACATCGTTTTTATATTATCGAACATATAATTTGATAGAATAAAATCTTATACAATAATAAACAGTTTGATATTTTCTGTTTCGTTCACTCTCCTAACCACATGCTCCACCGAGAGATAATATCTAACTGGATTCGCTATTATTAATAACCCCAGTTCTGGGTTAAATAGCATGTCAGACTAGGGTCTCAAGACGCGGTTGGTAACCAGTGTAGGAGAAGAAGAACTTTGAGTTAAATAGCTCTGGCAAAGCGCATACTACACATGCATTGATTATGACGTTCACAATTATCTGAAGCAATCAGTTGGGAACTCTGTGATCTCGAGTGAGGTCGAATAAAATTGATGAATAACAAGAAACTCTGTTTTTATCTTAGAACGATTTCAGGGCAACTCATCCCATAGGAATTCAAATATAGCCGTTAACTTTTGAGCGAGTATAAAATATTGCAAATTCAGTTTAACTTCGATGTTTAATAAATATAAAAGGGTTGGCGAACTGTACGTGCGGCGTCCTTGATCCTCACCAGGTACCTGACAGTTACGGAATTATTTAAGATTAGTGCATACGTGGATAGTTGTACGATAAGCATTGGTGTCGGACAGCGGCCATTAATATCAAGATTAAACAGTTTTATGAATTAGCTGATGATATGTTGTTTTAGAACCAGCGGCTTCAAATTAAAAAAAATAAAATAATAATTTTAGGAATATATATGTAAATATTTTTTCCTCGCCGTTTGGTATAACTGTGAGTTTTAGGCAAGTGACAATCTTCAGAGAAAGGACGCTACTAGCTTTGTTTCATTTAACATCAGTTTTTCTGCGTTGTTATTGTTAATCCATTATTTTTCAGAGTAAGAAAAAAATCTGTAGAAGAGATAGAGTGAGAGAGAGAAAGAGAGGGAGAGAAAGAGAGAGACGGAAAGAGAGAGAAAGAGAGAGAGAAAGCAAAAGAATGAGAGAGAAAGAGAGAGAGAAAGAGAGAGATAGAAAGAGAGAGAGGGAAAGAGAGAGAGAAAGAGAGAGAGAAAGAGAGATAGAAAGAGAGAGACGGAAAGAGAGAGAGAGAGAGCGAGAGAGAAAGAGAAAGAATGAGAGAGAGAGAAAAAAGAGAGAGAAAGAGAGAGGGAGAGAGAAAGAGAAAGAGAATGAGAAAGAGAAAGAATGAGAGAAAGAGAGAGAAAGAAAGAGAGAGAAAGAAAGAGAGAGAAAGAGAAAGAATGAGAGAGAAAGAGAGAGAGAAAGAGAAAGAATGAGAGAGAAAGAGAGAGAGAAAGAGAGAGGGAGGGAGAAAGAGAAAGAGAGAAAGAGAGTGAGAAAGAGAGTGAGAAAGAGAAAGAATGAGAGAGAAAGAGAGAGGGAGAGAGAAAGAAAGAGAGAGAGAAAGAGAGAGGGAGAGAGAGAGAGAGTGAGAAAGAGAAAGAATGAGAGAGAAAGAGAGAGAAAGAGAGAGGGAGAGAAAAAGAGAGAGAAAAAGAGAGAGGGAGAGAAAGAGAGAGGGAGAGAAAGAAGAGGGAGAGAGAGAAAGAATGAGAGAGAGAAAGAGAGAGACAGAAAGAGAAAGAGAGAGGGAGAATAGCTGAAATAGAAAAAAAAAGAATTGAAATAATCGGTGTTTGTGGATGCGGAATCTTAGAAAAGAATGAGAAAACAATTTAGACGAAGGGATGAGAAAAACCAAGTGGGTGGAGCTGAGTCAGTGGGTGAGGCTCTCGGAGGAAATGGGTGGAAACAAGAGAAAGCCGGGATGGCTGTGTGGGAATGGAAGGCCGGCCGCAGGCTTGGGTTATATTAAGAGCTGCAAATGGAATAAACTGTGGCGGTTGAAGCGTCAGGGAACTACTATAACAACCAGACCTTTGAGTGGCTGACGGAAAGATGCTACGTGGTAATTTGCCACTAGAGACGGCCTGGCACCGACAAAGTACGTCCAAGAAGGAAATAAACAGAGAATTTCAAAGGAATCAGTATTGGTGAATAACTCAGTTGGTGAAGAAGCGTAAAAGAAATGAACGTGTCATAACAGTAAGGCATGAGAGAGAGAGAGAGAAGAGAAAAGAAAGAAAGAAAGAAAGAGGGCGTGCTGTTGCATACACAGGTCGATAATATACTGAACGGTTTATTGGCATTGTTAAGTGGCAGATAAGGAACTGACTCTGAGTATCTAACGGGGATGGCAGCCGAGGTAAAGGAGAATAGGAAAAAAAAAATGAAGTATATCTTTGGATGTCTCCCGTCAAATTTGACATTTTGATGCTATGAGTTGATCATTTAAATTCTAAGAGATCCCATTCCTTGACGCTAACTGGTTGGAACGGTTTTAAAATAAAAGCGATCAATGTATTCATTTTAAGCAGACTTCTGTATTTGCGGACATCTACCATATTGGGATAACGCGTTCAACTCACAGGTTTCCCAGTTAATGGAGCGCGAATCGTATATAACGAACATAGGAATGAGTATGCGCATGAGTGGTTTGTGTACTCGCACATACACGCATATATACACACGTATGTGTACACACTCACAAATACCAACACGTATATAAATATACGTGTATGTGAGCGTGCGTGTATTCGTATGTGTATATGGCAGTTTTTAGATATGTGTGCGTCGTTTTGTAGGTCTGTGGCTGTGCGTGCGCGTCTGCGTGTATATATGTGTGTGCGTGTGTGTGTGTACATCTGTACTGTTTTTGTTAATGTATAAGTGTTGGAAGAGGGCCGGTGTGTACTACGCCCAACACCTTGATCGGGGAGATCAAGCATAATAGGGGCCCAGTGCAGTGGTTTATGACCCACACTATCTTTTCAATATTTGCTTTTTTTCTACCAACATTTGTGTACATAACAAATTAAACTAAGCATAACAGATTATTAAAAGGTGAAACATTTTCGCGGATTTTCACGTCTGGAGTATTTTTTTGTCCAAATCTGTGAATTTGTTTTACTCATGTTAAGTCTAAAATAAAAAAAACACTATATAAAATTCAGTATTTTTTTTTTATACACAATGTTGAATGTGTTAGAATTTAAAGTTGATCTTAAAAATTGCCACATAACATTGTCGATTATATAAAATAGAATGATCTGTTATGGCGTGTTTCCAATGTCTATTTAGATACATAGCATTTATTTTTAATTTTTCTAGTTGAATTGTTCAACTATATTGCATTTGATCCATTATTGTACATAATTAGGTTACAATAAAATTTGTATTTTATAAAAATACTACCTTATGAAAACTGAGATGTAGTAGAGTGGGGCCCTGTATGACAAATTCGGGGTGTGTATCATAGATTCACGAACGGGGGTTGGATACACGACCCTTGCAGCGGCAATGGTGGGAGTACACATTTCAACTCAAAGCTTTTTTGACTTTGATCCTAAAATTACATATACTAACACTTCTGTGTCTACATTTAGGTATTATTATCAGGAATATATAAAATGATCCAAAGAGTGTAGCTGAGGAAAAAGTATTACATTCTGTACACTCGTGATGTTCAAATTCCCTAGTTTTGCTGGTATATATAAAACCTCTTCCCATTATGACAAATAACTTCAAAACCTCCCCTGATGACCATATCGGGCCTTTCGTTTTACTGAAACATTGAAATGGATAAATTCTATATTAATTTTTCGCCGTTTTTTGGGGGGTTTCACACTTAAATTTCGATTGCCGACATGAACTCAATCTATACCGGGGTTGATAAGACTGACAAATTGTATTTTTGTCAGTCGAAATAAGTTTATTCTCCATATGCGATGATTCTGGAATTTATTGTTTATTAATTTTTGTCCTGTAATAATAAATACATTAAGGTGTGTTTGTGGATCAATTTTAATATTTTATATTACCAGGATCCATTTGGATTATATACCAACGGATTCATTACCTTTACTATATATATATATATATATATATATATATATATATATATATATATATATATATATATATATATTTATAACATATATATATATATTTATAATATATATATATATATATATATATATATATATATATATATTGAGCACTGTTTTCTAAAAATAAGAATATCAATAAGAACACCGGATTATATATCTTACTGTTCTTTCTTTTTACTATAATATATATATATATATATATATATATATATATATAGAAAAAAAAAACAAAAATTACCTCAACATTGTATAGTCTATTTCAAGCCGTTTTGTAAAAGGCTATCATCAGTTTCTTATTAATATTACTAGGATCCATCCGGATTATATAACAACGGATCGATTATCTGTATATCTGTATATATATATATATATATATATATATATATATATATATATATATATATATATTGGGAACGTATGAATCCATCTGATCTCTCCACAGGTATGGGTAGATAGCAGGACAGACTGGGTTCTATATCCTTGGCTGGCTACCAGTCAAGGAGAAGGACAACTCTGAATTCACACCACCCTGGAGAGGGTTGGGCTTTGTTAGGCTAGCTTGCGAAATACATACCTCACCTAATAAGGCTGAAGTACTTGTGGTGCCCCTATGATTCTAATGAATTTACGGACACGTGATCGTGAATTATAGTAAGGTAATGAAGGGTTTTATAATCCGTGTGGATAATTTCAAAGAGGATGTGATCCAGAGAGCTCAATGTAAAACCAGAGCAAATATTAATTACATAATTACGAAACAGACAACCTTAAGTTCCCATGAGCATAATTTATTTCCCCAGAGATATAGTTTCCTGCTTCATCAGGATCCATCTCTTGTTACAAAAGAATTCGATTTCTTTTATTTTTAATATAAATTTTAAGTGATAGTTTTAGATCAATATAAGGTGACAGAGGTGGTGGCAGGTTTATGGGAAGGTCCATCTTGGAATTGTAAGTAGGGATAAGGTTGTTTTTAAACTATCTTTAATAATTTACTTAGCTTCAAGTGTACTCAGTTAAGAGGCCAGACAATTTGACCTTTTAAATAATTTTTAGACAGGAAGAAGAAAGAAGAAAAAAAGAAAACAAATAGTAAAGCAGGTGAGGGGGTGGGGAGAGAAAGAAGAAAGAAAGGGTTTAGCAGAGTGGAAAGGGGAAGAAGGAAGAGTGAGTTATCACATATAGATATCTCACAGTGAAACTTGAAATGCACATAATTTGAAATGCACATTAATATAAATTATAGTTAATACATAAAGTATTAAAAGATTATATATTATTTGCATATAAATATATAAAGACGTACATGATATATATATATATATATATATATATATATATATATATATATATATATATATATATATATATATATATATAATACGATAAACGTGCAATCAATTTACAAATTCATGAATTATTCACACAAAACAAAAGCAAAGGTTAATGATTTCATTGGCGAGAAATCCATCATCATAAACAATTCAAATAATATACAAAAACCTCCGAATCCGTTATGAATGAATTGATCCTTGTTTCCATAAATTTCTGCCGTATTAGTTCTTTTTTACTACAAGCTTTCGTCTGTTCCTCACAGACATCTTCAGGTATAGAATAGATGTTGTTCTTGTTTTTTCTCTTAGTAATAAGAGGACAACGAAAATATATATATTGTTGTATCCGAAAATGCTATTGAAAATGAGTTATTGTTTTTTGGAGCGCGCCAGTAGCAACTGAGTTTGATTTAAATTTTTAAAGGTTGTGCGTTCATATAAATATGGTTTTTGTATATTATTTGAATTGTTTGCGATGATGGATTTCTCGCCAATGAAATCATTAACCTTTGCTTTTGTTTTTGTGTGAATAATTCATGAATATATATATATATATATATATATATATATATATATATATATTAAGATTATATATTATTTGCATATAAATATATAAAGACGTACATGATGATATATATATATATATATATATATATATATATATATATATATATATATATATATATATATGTGTATGTGTGTGTGCGTGTGTGCATGCATGTCGAAGGCACAGTGGAGTAATGGATAGCGGCTTTGAATTGAGGAATCGGAGAGCCGAGCTCGAATTCCAGTCGAATCCATTACATTCACTTACGTGCTAATACCCTTGGGAAAGGTGTGAATCCTCTACTTATCCCTCCAGCTATGGGTAAATAGAACTGGGTTCTATAGCCTTGGATGGTAACTGGTCCGGGAGAGGGAAAACTCTGAATTCAAAAACTGCGGAGGGCCGTTTGGGGACCTTGTGGCGCGTAGTGCACCAGGTCCCTGTAATCGGCCCTTCAAAAAGTGTGGATGGTCCTGCACGAAACCTTCACCACTATAATCAGATCTCATGTGCTATACATGCGGTTTGGGGACCGCTTGTGAATTCCAAATTCCCATGAAACCCACCTCGGGTGAATGTCGTTACAAGAACAAGAAGAGAGAGTCCCTTCAGGATGTGAGAGATCTTGGCTCTCTTTCAGTCTCTTGCTGTAAGTAAAACTTGACGCTTTACAATCCCTCTTTGTCGCTTCTCTGCTATCCAGCCCCGCAAACTTGGAAAGTCGCTCGATTTTTATCGACATAGGTTATTTTTCACTATACTCTCCTTCTTTGTAATTTTATTTAAATAGCAATCGTGACGATTTAACCTTATGCTGTGAAGATGTCAGATCAAATTTCATCTTATCACTGTGTCATCAATCTGAACACTTATTGGTCCGCACCGTCGTATTTATCACTGATCGAATCTATGTGTCCATGCGTGTGTTTCTACTTATATTATATAGCGTTACGAGGATGCATTTCTATAGTAAGGGGTTCTACTGAGTCCTACTTGTTAGTACAAAAAAGTTTTCATTCATAAAGTAGTTGCAAAATAGAGAAATTAGAAATTGAACGTTTGGAAGATTCTAGATCATTCCCGTATATTCGAGAAAAATCTAGATGATTCGAGAAAAATCTAGGTGATTCGAGAAACATCTAGAAATATGCTAATTAGGTGCTAGCACCTATAAAAATAGGTTTTTGGAAAAGGGTTGTCAGTTGGTGAAAGGAAATTTCTGCCAGTATCAACTCTGGGTTTTTTTTTGATTCAAGGATTATTATATCCAGCCGAAAGAATCTCTATGAAAAGTTGCCAACCAACAAAAACCCCAAAAGAGAACCACATGGAACAAATCTGATAAATAGAGTTTTGACTATTTTCATTGACCAAACTACTAATTATTCAATATATACTCACATTTATGGATTTCCAGTTATCAGCACTTAGATTACTTC